TTAGTGTAGGTGTGTACACGTGCAGGGGGTCTCTAGGCTGCCACTAGAGCTGCTGGAGATCTTGGGGCTCTGTTCAGGTGATGTGGGATTCTGGAGAAAGGAGGCTCAGGGGGGACCTTCTGGCTCTCCACAACTCCCTGGCAGGAGGGTGCAGCTGGGTGGGGCTTGGGCTCTGCTGCCGAGAAACAGGGACAGGATGAGAGAGCAGAACCTCGAGCTGTGCCAGGAGAGGTTCATGTTGGACATTTCTTCATTGAAACAGTGGTCAGGCATTGGAAGGGGCTCCTCAGGGAGGTGGTGGAGTCCCCATCCCTGGGGGTGTCCAAGGAACAACTGGATGTGGCCCTCAGTGCTCTGGGCAGGGTGACAGGGTGTGGGTCAGTCACAGGTTGGACTCAATGGCCTTGGAGGTCTTTTCCAATGATTTTATTTCATGTCTCTGTTGCCATCTGGGATGGCCTAGGAGAGCTGAGACCTCCTGGAGCCAGTGGAAAGGCAAGAGGGGCAGAAAGAGGCAGCTGGACAACTGCAAAGGGGCAAAAAGATAAAAAGCCAGAGAAATACATGAGGCAAGAGGAGAGGAAGCCCTGAGGCATGGTGGAGCGAGCTGGTTGGGATGTGGGACGCTGCTGGAGAGGGCATTGCAGGGCTGACTGTCTCCTCGCTCTGCTGTCCCCACAGTCAGCATCCCGCCGTGTCGGGCTCTCCTGTGCCAACTGCCACACGACGACCACCACGCTCTGGCGCAGGAACGCTGAGGGGGAGCCCGTCTGCAACGCCTGCGGGCTCTACATGAAGCTCCACGGGGTAAATCCTTGCTGTGGTAGGGTGTTCATGGCACCGGGCTGGGGGCTGGGTTCTTTGCATTAGCTCTGTGCTCTCCTGGAGCTGTTTTGTCTGCTGTCCTTTTGGGTTTAGTCCCCCCTAAAGTGTTTATACCTGCAAAGGCGTGTGCATGCTGGCTATTTATCATTTATTAATTAGGTCCCCTTTGCAAATAAGTCTTAAAACCTAATAAAACCAGGCCCAGATTCTTCCCACATAAATTCAGGCACTATAGTAAAAAAAGCCAAGTCAAAAGCACAAATACATGAGCTGTAGTTCGCTTCTGGCCCTAAACCACACAATACCATGGTGTGATCTGCCTTCTTATTCCCATTTGGATGCACATCTTGAATCTACCTTGGCCAGGGAATTTGAGCTCCATATTCTTGTTTTCAATTAATTAAATTAAATTAAATTTTCAATTAAACCAGCTCGACCACAAGTTAGAACTGGATTCATGTTCTCTTAGATGACCTTAAGGACATTCAGAAACAAATGTGCTGTTCTATTTGGATCTACAGGTCCCAAGGCCTTTAGCCATGAGAAAAGAGGGAATTCAGACGAGGAAACGCAAGCCTAAGAACCTTAACAAAACAAAGGCACCAGCAGGTAAGTATTGAATGAAGGAATTTATTTTATTATGCATTTTTGTGTGTGCACTTGTATTTCTAACCACATTGCCCTTGAATTAGAGAAATCCAATGACAAAACAGGCCAATTTTTTTAAAAATGGGGGATGTCTAAATACCTGAATGCCCTCCCAACGATTTTAAAATTTATTTTTACCACATTAACTTCTGGATGAGTGGGCACAGCTCTGTGGTGAAAGGTCTTTGGGAAGAGCCTGTTTTACCCTCTGGTTTCTCCCAGGCCCATCCAGCAGCGAGAGTCATACCCCGACCACCAGCTCCACCAGCAGCAGCAGCAGCAGCACCACGACCACCGAGGAAATGCGCCCCATCAAAACAGAACCTGGCCTCTCATCTCACTACGGGCACCCCAGCCCCGTTTCTCAGGTACTGAGGGGAGGTGTTGGCAGTGGGGAAAACAAACAGGGAAATAGCATGGTACACATGGGGAGAACATCCTCATAACTTTACTTAGGTACTTAAAAGACAAACACCTGAAGGGAGGCTGCAGGAAAAGATGGAGAGAGAGTATTTACAAGGGTATGGAGTGATAGGACAAAGGGGAATGGCTTCAAACTGAGAGGTTTAGATTGGATATTGGGAAGTAATTCTTTCCTGTGAGGGTGGGGAGGCCCTGGCACAGGGTGCCCAGAGAAGCTGTGGCTGACCCTGGACCTCTGGAAGTGTCTAAGGTCAGGCTGGACAGGGCTTGGAGCAACCTGGAAAGGTGGAAGGTGTCCCTGCCCATGGCAGGGGGTGGGAAGGAGATGATCATTAAGGTCTCTTCAAACCCAAATCGTTCTCTGTTTCTAGAATTAGAAAGAAAGGGAGACAGGAAGAAAGAGCCTGCCCAAGGTATCCCACATAGGCTGCAATCTCCAGCCCTGCAGCAAACCCAGACACATTTTTACGACAGCACCAGCCCACACTAAATGGATTCACATGGTCCTCTAAGGTTTGAAGCTTTTTTCCACAGCATTCTCCTTTTTCCATAGGCATTCTCAGTCTCTGCCATGTCCGGACATGGATCATCCATTCACCCTGCGATCTCAGCTCTGAAGCTTTCCCCCCAGGCTTACCAGTCAGCCATGAGCCAGTCTCCCCAAACCAGCTCCAAACAGGACTCCTGGAACAGCCTGGTGCTGGCTGAGAACCATGGGGACATCATTACTGCATAACCTGGCCCCTTCCCTATGAACTCCAGGCTGATCCGCTTGAGAGACGAAGAAGACGCCACGTAGTCATCAAGTCAATGTTGTCTCCACCTCCCCTGCTCTCCTGCCTTCTCTCCCCTTGTGAGATGTTCCAGCAAAGAAGCAAAAAGAACTTATCTGAGGTGTAGGGGAGATCTTATGAAATGAACAGGGAAGACTCAAATCTCAGAGTAACTCAAGGATTTGAAGCTTTTTTTCCCCACTTTAAATGAGCATCTCTATTTGTCTGTCACCACTTACTTCGAAACAGCCAGAAACATGGAGACAGACACAGTTCTTGAGTTTTATTTAACAGTATCTGGCATTTTTAGACTCAGACAATGGTGGAACAGAGACATTTCTTCTTTCACCACCCATTCTTTTCCTGAACAGAAGAAAATGCCATTGTCTTCTCATGACCCAGATTCAGTGATCTTCCACCAAACGGAGCCAGTTCCAGGACAGTTTGCTGAACAGACTTCACTTGAGATTCTTTAGTGGCTTTAATGGATTTGATATGATGTAGGAGAGAGAAAAAAAGAGATATCTCCCTCTTCAGCTCACACGTGTAGAGCATTTTGTTCATTTTTCTAGATGGTCTGGAAAGCTCATGAATGTCCGTATTTAATAGAAACTCCTTTCCTATTTATCACTACGAAATCATGGGACAGTGTTTCCAGAAGGTTGTTGGCTGAGCCTGGAGTAGGTCGGTCCAAAGTCAAAGGAGGATTTTGGAAGAAGGTAGATGAGACCCATGCTGGTCATCAGATCCTGGAGGAAATGGCTGGGCTCTTCCCTGATGGATAGCAACAAGCCAGGTTTAGAGATTATTCAAGAGCACAGCAAGTGAAAGATGCTCTTCTAACACTGCTGGGCCACTTCTTTTCAGACAGATAATTTAATTATTTTACCTATTTTTATGCTGGTTTGAATGCCACTGATGAAATCTGACTGTCACTTATTTTTGGCTGTACTGTGAGTGCCCACTTTCCCCCTAACAGCTGGCTCGTGACCATTTCCCACATCTAATCCTTTAGGATTTCACTTTTTGCAACAAGCAGTGGCTTCAGCCCCTACTGGAGGTGGCAGGGGTCGTTTTCCTTATCAAGCATGTACACAGACTTGCTTGCCTGCAAGAGAAGCACAACTCCATTAAACAAGACTCGACAGTTTGCTTGCCCATAAGGCTCTCAGCTACCAGGGAATCCTGGCAAATGGAGTCGGAAGAGATGCTAATAGCAGGACTCATTCCCTTTTCCTAAAGGGATCAGTCCCACCTAATCCAGCCCTGACTGTTCTGCCTCTGGTTTAACAAACTCAAACTCCAGCAGGGCAGACACCACAGCTCCCCTGGGAAGTCCAAGTGCTTCACCAGATGCTTCCCATGGCGTTTGCATCCATATTTCCAAGGAAGGATAGCTTTGCCTGTCCATGCAGAGAGTTCCTGGGAGACCTCATCCTGCAAGATTCTTCACTCTGGTTCCTGTCTGCTCCCAAGCTCTGTTACCCTCCTTGCCTTCCCAGCTCCTCTCTTTTCTTCCCCGCATCCAGAACTCGAGTACAGAACTACCAAGTGAAAAATCTCTAAAGGGGATTGTGCAGCCCTCCCAAATGTGCCACCCTCTGCCTCCCACTCCACAAGGAGTGTTCTTCCATGCAAACTAAGCCACATGGCTTGGTAAAGAGGAGAGCCACGGACAGGTTTGAAGCAAAAGAATGGCATTGTGTTGTCTTTGTTTGAACTCACCCTGTTCCTCCCTGTGTTGTAAAAGCTTCTCTAAGGAGAAGGATTCAACTGAACTGGTCATGACTGGAGAGTTCTGGACCTTCCTGCATTCCTCGTTCTCTCCATAGCTCAGATTTGCAGGGTTTCGTAGGGATGACAGAGTCTCCACACTCCCTAAAGAAAAACACCATGGCAATGCTGCCATGGGAACAGCTGGGTGGTGTTTGCACCAGTTCCCACTGTTTTGTGGAGCTAATGCAGTGTTTAGCCTCATTAGTGCTAATTACAGATGAGAGAAAGATATTAATGAAACATGAATAGAAAGAAATTAAATTCTATGATTTTGTTCAGACCTGCTAGGCTTTAGAGAAGAAGCCAGGAATAGCACTGAAAAATATTAATTTGAGGTGAAAACACAAAGGTGTTTCTCCATTGGCAGGAAGATCTTTAGCCAAACTCCTCCTTGAAGTAAATCCCTTTGTAAATGGCAGTCGAGCTCTCCTGGGATCTGGCTGTGAATTCCTGGTCATAACACATCAGCCTGCACCACAAAATGCTACGTGGCTCATGCCAACTTTTGAGATATCCAGAAATATCCTGGAAAGCCCAAGAGGGAGTGGAGCCTCCTGATGAGGATTAAAAGTCCAGACCAACCACATCCCCACTTCTCCTTGCATCTGGAGGCTCACACTGGTTCTACCTTCCCTTCCCTATTGCTGTGCTCCTCCTCCTTCCCTCAAAACCAAATTCCCCAGTGGAATTTTTCTCCTGCTCTTAAAACCCATTCAGAAACAACTCTGCTTATAATGCCAGGAGGAAAGATCCCTGCAGAACATATCTGCCTATGTCTCCTTGGTAGAGATTTATGAACTGGATTTTAGCCTTCCTCAAAGCCTGAAAAACAATTCTTGAAACAGAGTGAGGAGTGTTTACAAGTCCCTGATAACAGAACAAGATATCTGCTTTCAAAAGGTGAAGCTCTGGGGTCTGTGAGGACAGCTTTAGAGGTAGAGGACAACTCTTTAGGGCTAGAAATTAGCTCTTTTGTCCCCCTTTCTGTACCAGAAGCAGAAGTTTGGATACACCAGGTTCTGTGGTTCTTTTCAGTGATCCAAAAATGTTGTAGAGCTGCTGTTGGCCCAAGAGATTTTGTTTTTCTCAGGCCAGTGCTGATATCAGGATGGTGAGAGATTGATCTCAGATGCAGCATCACCATTTCTGGTAGGGTACAAACACGCTATAATTGATGGGCCCCCTTCTTCAGAGCTTCTAATGATCAGATTACAAAATAATTAACTTAGAAGGGATGAGATCAGGTCTCTCAAATCCCTGTTCAGGCAACTTTTGAATATTCTCAAGGATGAAAATCCCACCATTTCTCTGGGTTCCTGTTCCAGTGTTTGACCACCCTCATGCTGGAAATGTTTTCCCAAGAATCACTGGCAAATTAATTACTCACATTTGGGGATTCCCATGTAAATAGTCATTGTGGGAGGCTGAAGCCCAGGAATCCCTCAGAGCCACGTCTTGCAGGCAGGAGCTGGGATGGCCCCTGCAGGATGGCAAATTCCAGAAGTAACAGACCAAGGGATACTCACAGGACAAGAGGATTAAAGTGCCACCATTTTCAGGACACTCGGCTCCTTCCAGCAAGAGGAACCAATTACAAAATTCCAGGTTCTACCTGAGCTCTGCTTTCCTGCCTGTGATGGGGAAGGCAATTAGAGCCTGTTTTGGTAATGAATTAGATACAATTATTAGAGACCCATTAAGGTAAAATAATTATTGGTTTTATTATTTCTTTTATTGCTGGAGAACCTAATGAGATTCATACCAGGTCCTACACAACTACAGCACCGAGAACTATCCCTTCCCTGAGGAGCAAGAGGGAAGGGCCCACTCCTGCAAAACACCTCAGCACATTTAAAACTGCATTTGTGGGATTTGTTCCCCTTAATACCATCCCTAATCAGGAAAATTTTGATGCTGAAGGGTTTACAGCTAGGATTTACAGAAGGGTTACAGTTTGGTTGTGTCAAATCAGACCTTGGCACTGGCAGTGGCCAGTGGCCACCGAAGTGAGATGGGCAGATGAGAACCAGGATCGGGAGCCAAGAAAGGTCATTTAACCACTTCTAAATGTCTTTGCTCTTTGTGGAAGTGCAGTATCTTGATCCACTTCAGTTATTCTTTGTAAATTGATCAGACTAGATCCACAGACCACCTGCAATCTTTTGGGCTTGGATGGAGAGTGTGCAATCAGGAGGAGCTCAGGAATATTGCAAGGGAGCTTTGAACCAATCAACAACTCTCAATGTAATATTGAAGCTGTGGCTATGTCAGGGGTGGTGTTTTGTTTTGCCTTTTTTTTTCTCTCCCTGTATAAAGTTTGAAGCTTCCCAGGTCATTTGGGAAGGTCTCATGGAAACAGACACTTATTTGTAAGGGGGAGAGGGAAACCAACCAACTGAACAAGCTGTAATTATTTAAAGATGTAAAAAAATATCTATTATTAAGTAGTATGGCTACCAATCCATGTAACTTCTACACCTTTAGAACTAATGGAAATAAAACAATGACAATAAAACCAGAAGGTTTCTGCTTGATTCTGTCTTCCCTTGTAGGCTTCTTGGAGAGGGCAGGGGGTGAATGATGAAATACTGAAAACATGAAACGCACCTGGAAAAGAAATTAAGTGGGTCCTGTCCCAGAGAGCTCACAATGAAAAAATTACAGGGAAAGTCAGAAAAGATGAGATCAGGTTCCTCAGAGACCTGTTCAGTCAAGTTTTGAACATACCCCAGGATGGAAATCTCACCACCTCTCTGGGTTCCTGTTCAGTGTCTGAAAACACTCCTCATGGTGGAAATGTTTTCCCAAATCATAGAATGTTAAGGGGTTAGAAGGGACCTTAAAGCTCATCTAGTCCTAATTCCTGCCATGGGCAGGGACACCTTCCCCTTGAATAAGGCCTTGAACAACCTTCCCCGGTTGTTCAAGGCCTTATTGAACCTGGCCTTTGACACTTCCAGGGATGGGGCAGCCACAGCCACCTTTGGTAACCTGTTCCAGTGTCTCACCACCCTCAAAGTTAATAATTTCTTCTTAATATCTAATCTAAATTTCCCCTCCTTCAACTTGTACCTATTACTCCTTGTCCTATATAAAATTCCTATTTAATAAATATTAGGTTATTAAAGATAATCAAAATATTTGGTAAATTAATTGCCTAGACCTGGGAATTCCCAAGCAATGAGTCATTGCAGGAAAACCAGTGTTGTTCTCAAGCCCCAGAGTCACACACAGCCCCCTCCCATACACAGGATTTGGGATTGCCAACACAGCATGAAAAACTCAGCAGTGACACAGGGCTTGGAGCCACTTGGTCTAGTAAAAAGTGTCCCTGCCCATGGCAGAGAGGCACAACTGGATGATCTCTAAGGTCCCTTCCAACCCAAACCAGACTGTGACTATGATTTTAATATAAATAAGGAAAATCTCCAATACTGGTAACACCCGAACACAGCAGAGAGGGGGGGAAAGCCCTTGGGGGCGCTTAAAAACCATCACGACTTAGCTTTTTTATCTCCTCACTGAGTTTTACTCGGTAGATCTTGTTCAGCCTGAATGCTTCCAGCTGAACTCGGGGACAACAACAGCCTCGAGCAGAAATGAGGCTGCCAGCAAGGGCTGTGCTCAGCCACCTCCCACTCTGCAGGGGCACAGCCTCCTTGAGCACCCAAGCGCCCTGCCGGGTGCTGCCCAGCTTCCTTTCCAGTCGGGCCGGTTTGCAGAGCCCTACCGCTGCCGGGGTGAGTGCAGGCAGCACCTGGAGCCCGCCCATCCCTCCCCCGGCAGCCAGCTGCGGAGCTCTCCTGATTTTTTTGGGGGAAGGGGGAGGGAGGATCTTCCCTTATATAAAGAAGTGGGTGAAAGGTGTTTGGCTGTGCGAGGTCCTGTTGAGGTGCAGGTGCTGTGGGACGTGGCTGGGGGTAGAGGGAGGGTTGTGAGGAGTAGAGGGGAGGTAATGAAGTAGTGGGGAAGGCTGCCCAGCCTGGGGAGAGCAGTGGATGAGAGCTGGATGCAGGAATGTGGGGCCTGGGAGAAAAGCAGTGTGTGCCTTCACTGCCCTGGCACGATGTGAGTGAGAACTCAGGGCCTGTTTTCTGGGGATGGCTGCAAATTGATGCTTGGCTGAATGTGAGAAGATGGAGAGCTCTGTACCCCCACTGACTGCATGTGGAGGGTCAGAGCTGTGCCTTGAAGTCCCTGCAGGAGCCTTGCCCAGGGGTGTAAGGTCACTGGGAGCCTTCCTGCAATCCTGCCTTGTCCTTGCTCTGTTCTGCTCTGGGTGCTGGGCTTTTTGTCTGGGCACAAGGACTGGGAATGAGCCCATACAGGGGGAGGATTTGTCCTGGAGCCTGTCTCCCTGCCCCAGACCTGCAGAGGTACCAGCTCAGGTGGTCATGCTCATGATGAGATGGGTGTCATGCCCTGCAGAGGGCTGGGGATGGTTTTCTTCCTCTTCCTCCTTAGAGGGGGGAGTGCTGTGGGTGAGACTGAAGTGGGTCTAGAGTAAAAATGTGAAATAAGGAGGTACATGGAGATAAGGGAATCAGGTACATGGGATAAGGATGGCAGATGCTGGTGGTTCTGATGTGCTGGGGAGTAGGGCAGTCTTCCCTTCTGAGGAGTCCATTGCTGTCAGACTACAGCTGGGGCAGTGTGAGCATTAATACCTTAGAGAGCTCCAAGCACTTCCAGTCTCTCACAAGGAGCTGTGGAGAGCTGACTTAGCAGCAGTCAGAGTTCTGCAGGTGATGAACTTCCCTGGGATATGAGCTTTGGGCTCACAGGGCTGTCCTGGTGCTCAATCCATGCTGCCTGATGTGAAGCCAGTGCCTGGATAGTCAGGGTAGACTCCTTGGGTGACCTGTGCTCAGCTGTTTCCAGGGATCCAAACTGCTGCTGGTGCCTTTGGCAGCAGAAGCATCTCTTTAGCTGTCTCTTGATCAACATCATATGCAGATTTTTTGGATTAAACTAGAGGAGCCTGTGAGTAATCACCATGTGCCCTTGAAGGCAGAGGACTAAAGCTCAGTCTTTTACCCATGCTAAATCTAGTTTTGATGACCACTTAATATCTGTATGTGCATCTAAGACATTAAATAAATGTTCCCTAACATGTTTTCCTCTTGAGCCCTTCCAAAAGGGATTTGGTTTGTGCTGCAGCACAGGAATGTCTGGCATGAGGTGGGAATGGCTCTTCTGGTGGCCAACCCCTAGGATTGCTGTTGATTTTCTCATCAGACTGTCTCAGAGCTGTCCCAGGTGCCTCAGAGCCCTGTACTGAGTGCTGTGGAGCTTGAAGCTGAGCCTCTGATCAGTGCTGGTCTCTGGGATTAGTCTGCAGGGAGAATTGGTGCTGTGGGATGAAAGCCAAGCTGAGCTTTCCTTGTACACCCACAGCCAGCAGAAATCCTCAGAATTAATGCCAATGACAGGGGCTTCATGCCAGAAATAACTCCTTATGTATTTGTGTGACTTCCTGGAAGGAGCTGCAGGATGGTGCTGCTTCATCTCCCCCTCACCCAGAGCCTTCTGCTCCCAGATGCTGCTAGCAGAGTGTAGGAATGCTCCCCAACTGGTTCCATGCCATTGCAGTCAATGGGGCAAGCAATGGGTAAAGCAAGGGGTGGGGATGCTCTAATTCCAGGGCTGATCTTTCCATGGGAGAAGCACTTCCCATGGTGTATTTGGAAAAAGATGGGTCACTGGCCTGTGCTGGTTCTGGGTCACTAATCATAAAATTACAGAATGGAATGGGTTGAAGGGACCTTAAAGATCATCTACTTCCAACCCCCATGATGTTGGCAGGCAAACCTCCCACTGCCCCAGGAAAAAAGGACTTTTGGGAGATTCCCCAGGCCAAATTCCCAGTTGTGTGAAAACTGCCATTGGAGTATGTTGTTCAGGGCTGTGTTGGATTGAATTATACATATCTGCTAGGATGGAAACTCCTCTACCATCCTGGTCCTATTTACCTTCATGGACTTTGCCACAGCAACTTAAGGAGGAAAATAAGGAGAATGTTTTGTGTATTTCTGAGTTGCAGCTTCTCTTCAAGTCTAGGGCAGAGTGTGACAAGGACCTGCTAATCCCTCTGCAGCTGCTGGAGATGCCAGAGGGCCCATCAGTGAGGAAGTTCCAGCTGCTGACCTCCCCTTTTGTGGGCCAAGTGGTGGCCAAGGTGGGGGGAAGCAGCCGGAAGCTCAGTGTGAATGACCTGAATGCCCTGAGGCTCCAGGACTCCCAGGTGAGTTGAATTTACAGATCCATGACAAGTCTGAGTGCAGAAATCACCATTGTCCCACAGCTGGGTGACAGAAGGTGCAGAACCTGTGAATGTTTCCCTGGGGGTTTCACCTGGCTAAGTTGAGATGTCTGTGCTGTGGGTACTTGTCAGAAGTCACACTGGGTCAGTCCTGCTGGGGCTTCACTGGCCTGACACCCTCAGATGATGATTTGGACCTGACTGGCCAAACCCTGGTGCAGCCTCACCTCTGATTAAAGGTGGGGAGCAAAATTAAAAGCACGAAGTGGGAAGATGAATCAGGAGCAATGATGACAAATTTCAAAGCCCTGAGTGTCTGTCCTGGTGGGCCTAGTGGGAGCCCCTGGGAGGGATTCAGGCAGGCAAAGAAAGGAATCTGCAAGGATGGGAATGGTTTGGATCCTGATGAATCCCATGTTCATGGTGGGCTGATGTGCTCTCTAATAAAGGTTGTAGAAAATAAGTCACTTGTATGGAAACAGGTAGAGATTTTGTCCCTGGAAGTGTTCAAAATCAGGTTGGATGAGGGCTGAGCAGCCTGGTCTAGTGGAGGTTGTCCCTGCCTGTGTCTGGGCTTGGAATGAGATGAGCTTTAAGGTCCATTTGAAACATCTAAAATGTTATGATCCTTTATGGATCATCAGCACATCCCACGTCTTTTCTCAGGTTCATGGGAAGAACTTGTACCTGGCATTTGTGGCAGCTGAAGGTCCCGTTGGACCAACTGCAGAAGAGACAGCGCTGCAAAGAGAGGCTGCTTGTGGGGCACACTGTCCTGCCCAGGATGGTGCTCCACATCCCTGCTCCCAGGATGAGGAGCTACAGGAAGCCCAGCACTCAAGATCTGAAGCCCCAGAGGCAGCAGAGGGTCGGGGCAATTGGCTGCGCATCCACTTTGGCATGTTCGGCAGTGTCCGAGCAAACGAGTTCTCGAGGGCAAGCAGAGCCAATAAAAGGGGGGACTGGAAGGATCCTGTGCCCAGGTATTTCCTCTTCTCTTTTCTCTCAAACCAAATCTGTGTGGGAATGCTCTTAGCCTTGATTTTCTCTGGTAATTTTTAAGGTATGAGTAAATGTAGGGTGTGTTTAACGAGAGAATCCACAGTGGAATTGTAGGATGCAGTTGTCTGGGGATTATAGTATGAGTTCTGCTAAGATTTTTGTATTGAAGAGAGAAGTTTTAGGATGCCAGGCTGAATCATGCCCTAAAAATGACAGTTTCCCCAATTATGTCTTTTTTGAAAAATCTTGGATAAATAGCAAATGTTGTATACATTTGGAATCACAGGCTGGAGTGATGCTGTTGAAGGCAGCAGTGAATTGAAAACATGGCTATGGTTTGCATCCTATATCCCACTGGAATTGTGCAGCAATGAGGCAACCACAGCTTCTCTTTCCCAGAGAAGCTGTGGTTGCCTCATTGCTGGAAGTGTCCAAGACCAGGCTGGACCTGGCTTGGAGCAACCTGGGATGGGGGAAAGTGTCCCTGCCCATGGCAGAGGGTGGCCCAAGATGATCTTTGGGTGCTTTTCCAACCCAAACCATTCTATGGTTCTATGATTTTTTTGAAGAATGAATTAATTTCCATACAAATATTCTTAGACAGTTTTTTGTGATACTTTTAACATTCATTTCTCTGATTTGTGGACTGCCCTGCTGAAGGCTTTGTCAAATACAGGGCAGTAGAAGGAAAAATTTTCCACCAGCTGTGTGAGTTTACCACCAAGCTTCATGGCTGCAGTTGTTAAAGATGCCACCTTGCCTTGAGACAGTGGCTAGCTGCAGAGTACAGCAAGGAGTTCAGAGATGTTTCTGATGGGAGACTCCAACTTCCCTGCTTCTCCCAGGCTGGTTCTGCACTTTGAGAGTGGAGGCTTCCTTGTTTTCTACAACTGCCGGATGCTCTGGTGCTCCTCTCCAAGGGCTGATCCTGCTTCTGACATCCTGTCTGTGGAATTCCACCGTGGCCGGGCGCTGCGTGCCCTCTGTGCACCCGATCCCGTCTGCTACACCCTCCTAAACCAAAGATATTTTTCAGGGCTGGGTGAGTTCCAGGGAAAAGGGGCAGAAGGAGAAATGGAGGAAGGTGGGTGGGATGTCTACAGATGCAGAAGTGCATGTCTGGGCAGCTTTCTCTTTCGTTTAAGAGTTCTGGTTGATCCAGTTGAGGGCATGTGGTCATCTTCAAGGTGTGTAACAATGGTAGAGGGAAGAGAACCACTTCCAGTCTGATCCCAGCTCTACGTCCATTCTTTGGATGCCACTTCTGGTACAGGGAATGGTATTGCTGGCTGTGGTCCTTGAGGCAGAAATCACAGGATGGAGCAAGCAACCTGCATTACCTTGATTAGAAATATCCTTGCTGTCTCCTTGTTTCTGACCCCTTCCAGGGAACATCATTAAGAACGAGATCCTGTACCTGGCCAGGATCCACCCGCTAACACCAGGCTCCCTCTTGGCTCTCTCAGATCTGGAGCGTCTGCTGGACTGCGCCGTTCAGTTCAGCTCTGAGTGGCTGCACAATAAACTGCGTGGCCATGGGCTGCACCCCCAGGTGTACCAGAAGGAGAAATGTCCCCAGGGGCATCCCCTCATGAAGGGCACTTTTGGACCCTCGGGTGGCTTCAAGAGACTCACGTGGTGGTGCCCTCAGTGCCAGCCTGCGGTGCTGCCAGGGGATGGGGACCCTTCCCCAGTCACTGAGTGATCTGTCCTGCAGGGTGCTGGGTGGTCTCTGATCCATGCTCTTCGTTGTCCTAGAAGGTCTCTGTGATTTCTTTTAGGCTGTTGAGTTTGGTCCTTAGGGAGCTGGCAGAGTTAAGCACTCAGTGGAGGTTCCAGGTCCCCTGAGTGGCTGCAGAAAGGAAAAAGTGGTTGTCCATGTTTTGTTTTTTTTTGTCACAATGGCACAACAGTGTTAAGAGTTTGACCAAGTTTGAGGTGCATTGGTCACCCTGTTCAGGTGGCAGTGGATGGGAAGTGTAAATGTTTAAGCAGGGGATTGCTGTGGTCTGAAGTGGCCCTGTCCCTTGACCCTGGAGGAGTCAGCAAAACAGAGGATATCCCTCTCCCTAAACAGCTTGATTATTAGGAATTAAATAATCCTGCCTCTGTGTGCTGGGCTGTGATTGGGTGTGGTTAAATGTGAGGGGCTGTTCCCTGTGTCAGATCTGACAGCTCCCTCCTTCCACGTCAACATGTACAAAATATACGTCAGCAGCCCTTGGTGGAGCTCATCTCTGCACCCACAGGTTTCAGCTGTGTGGCAAACTGCCAATTCCAGATCTTGCTGTAAAATTAAACAAAAATACAGTGTGTGACAGTGTGCATAAAACTCAGGATCTCCAAGGAAACCTGGAAGCAGAAAGGTTTAGAAATAGAGCTGTCTCTATACACTAGGTGGGAACTGCTGCTGTCCTCTCTCCCTGGATTTGAGTTTATTTTAATAATAAGTTGTTGACCTGAGCAAAAAAATAAAAGTTGGAATTAGACTTGGTGATGTTCATCTCAAGTGTGTCTTTTCTGGCAGTTTCTTGGTTAAAAACTGGGCTGTACATGGAAGTTCTAGCTGCCTGGAATTGGTTAACAGCTACCTCTTTGGTGCTGCTTATTGAGGGTCCTACCAGTGACTTTCCTTAGCTGTGTAAGTGGTCTCATTAATGGGAACTGGATTTAAAGATGGATTGTAAATCACCTGGGAATGCTGAAGATAAACACCTGTTGTAGGCAGCTGCTTCCTAGGTAAGACTTGCACAGTCTCTCCCCTGTGAATTGCAACACCTTTGAGTGGTTGCATGTTACACGATTGCTGAATAAACCAATTAATTGGGCTTATGGGGCCAAAGAACGTGGTTAATGTCCCTTCTGCAGTGTTGGCCAAGTGCCCGTCCAAAACAAAGAATCTTAGAATATCCTGAGTTGGAAGGGACCCACAATGATGATCAAAGCCCAACTTCTCGAAGAAAACCACTCACAACAAAAGCACCCCAAAAGCTCAATCTTATCGTTTGAAGGATGAGGATGGAGCTGGGTATGTGTTGGGTTGTCAGCTCAGGAAGGATGTGGACTGTTGATGCAAGTCCAGAGGAGGCCATGGGGGTGCTCCAAGGGCTGGAGCCCCTCTGCTCTGGAGACGGGCTCAGAGCTGGGGGTGCCCAGCTTGGAGAAGGTGCCAGGGAAACCTCAGAGCCCCTCTTGGTGCCTAAAGGGGCTCAAGAGGGATGGAGAGGGACTTAGGACAAGGGGGAACGGCTTCCTACTGCCAGAGCACGGGGTTAGATGGGATACTGGGAAGGAATTCTTCCCTGTGAGGAGGACGCGGGGTCGGGATGGAAATCCCACAGAAGCCGTGGCTTCTCCATCCCAGGAAGTGTCCAAGGCCATGCTGGACGGGACTTGGAGCAACCTGCGATAGTGGAAGGTGTCCCTGCCATGGCAGGGGGTCGGAACTGGAAGGTTTTCAAGCTCTCTTCCCACGCCAAGCCGCCCGTGCCTCCATGGCGGCTCCGTTCCCCTCACGCTCCCGCGAGGGAGTCCGGGGCCGCCGACTCCTTCCCGCTCCGCCTGTGCCGACGCGCGCCTCCGCCAATCAGCGCCCGCCGCCGGCCGTCACACCAGCCGCGCTGCCTCCCTATTGGCTGGCGCTGCCCTGGTGCGAGCGCGCCTTCGCCAATCGGCGCCGCGCCCGCCCCACCGAGCGATGTGCGGAGCGCTGTGATTGGCTGCGGGGCGGGGCTGGAGCGGCCCCGCCCGTGTCCGGTTAAGCGGCGGGTGGGGGGGCGGCGGCGGGAGCGTGCGGCGGCGGCGGGGTCTGAGCACGGCCCCCATGGAGCTGCTGCGGAAATGGCTGGGCCACCCCGAGGACATCTACCACCTGCTGCGCTTCAAGATGGGCGGCTACCGCGCCGTCATGCCGCGGATGGACACGGTGAGCGGCGAGGGATGCGCGGGCGGCGTGATGCGCTTCGCTGTCGCCGGTGCGCGGTGCTCCCGGTGGGGAGCGAGACACGGGAGGAGGAGGTGGGGGGCACTGTCATGTCTGGAAGCGGACAGAGTGTTGCCACGGGTGACCATCCCATATCCAGCGTGTATAGGACCTGCCCGGCGTTGTGCGCCTTGTGTGCACCTCGGTGCTTCCCGGTTACACCGGCTGCGGGCGTCCTATTGCACTGCTCGTACCGTGTGTGCATTCCACCGGTTCCGGGCATTCCACCGGCTCCGGGCATCCTATTGCATTGCTCGTACTGTGTGTGCTTCCCACCGGTTCCGGGCATTCCACCGGCTCCGGGCATCCTATTGCATTGCTCGTACTGTGTGCATCCCACCGGTTCCGGGCATCCCACCGGCTCCGGGCATCCTGTAGATAGGTGCATCCCACCGGCTCCAAGCATCCCTGCATTGCTCGGTGCCGGTACCCTGCGAGCTTCCCGCCGGCTCCGGGCATCCCTTGCATTGTTCGGTGGCGGTACCAGTGCCGGACATCGCAGAGTCCCGGTGCTACCCGAGCATCCCGCGGCTCCGGGCATCCCTTGCGTTGCTCAGTGCCGGTATCCCACCAACATCCCACTGACTCCGAGCATCTCAGGCTTCCCATGCTGGCCGTACCCGCCTGCATCCCACCAGGTCCGAGCATCCCTTGCGTTGCTCGGTGCCGGTGCGCGCATCCCCGGAGCCCCGGCGCTGTCCGTACATGGCAGCGTGTCCGGCCGCGGAGCCGGGCCGGGGCGGGTTAAGGGGCGGGTTTGGGGCCGGGGCGGGGCGGCCGCAGCCCCCCGCCGCCGCGCCCCCATGGCGGCCGGCTCCCGGGCCGTGTCCGTGCTCCGGCGGACGCTGACCGTGTCCCCGCCGCGGGCAGCGGGCCGGCGGCGGGGACAGCAGCGGCAGCAGCGCTGCGGAGCCCCCGCCGCGCCCCCGGCCCCGCCGCCCGCCGCCCGCCGCCTCCAACCCGCGGCCCCCGGCCCGCTGTGCCCGCAGGACTCGCTGGGATGTGGCCTCCGCACCTGCTACCGCTACCTCAACCAGACCAGCCGCAGCTTCGCCGCCGTCATCCAGGCTCTGGATGGAGAGCTGCGGTGAGCAGGGGGACACCGGGAGGCCGGGGAAGGGGTGCGGTGAGCCCCGGCACTGGGGGTCTTTGGGGGGTGGCAGGTGGGGGGGCACCCAAGCACTGGGGATCCTTGGGAAGGGGTGGGCACAGGTTTCCCCCCGACACCGGGAATTCCCTGGAGATGGTGGGGGTAATTTTCCTCCCTGGGATGTGATGGGTACAATGCCACCCTGACACTGGGGATCCCTGGGAGCTCAGCCCCCCAGTTTCAGGTCTCCCCAGGAGTTGGTGGGTGTGATGCCCCCCCAGTACCAGAGCTGGGTCCATGCAGTATCCCCAAACTCCATTTTTCACTAGTGGAGCTGCTGGGACACGCTCCCTCTCCCATCAGGAGCTGACTGGACTCGCTCAGCTCAGCCCCACCCTGTGCAGCAGGACGTGGGGTTTTTCACGTCCCAGCTGGCTGTACCACATCCCTCCTCTGCACCACATCATCCCCCAGACTGGGTCTCTGGGCTGAGCTTCCTGGCCAGCAGACTGTCAAACACAGGGCCTGGCAGTGTGCTGTGTGTGACACCCTGGGAATGTGTCCTGGCACTGCCAAGGCTGGCGCTGGACAAAGGCTGGAGGGACGAAGTGAGGAAAAACCTGGGACTGACCAAAGTTCTGGGCCTTGCCTGGGAGATGCTTTTGGAAGCAGCTGCCTCAAAACTTGTGCAGATGTTACAGCAGGTTTGTTGCACACTCATTTTTTGCTGTGTAGATTTTGCTGCCATGTGCAAAAAGCTTCAGATGGGAATAGTAACAGGATGTAAAGCTTAGCTGCCCAGGGGGCCTCATACCATGTAATTATTCTCCATGTAATTCCTTATATTCATTTGACAATTATTGATTTCAGTTTTTAAATCCCCGGTTAATCCCAAGACAGATTGATGATCAAATTTAGGGGTTCTGGGAATTGTTCCATACACATCTGATGGCTCTGATCTGAGCAGTTGCAGGCACCACCCCAAACACTGAGTGGTCTGTGGGGTTTCTGAGCCCTGGCTTGGCGTTTTGGAGGGTGCCCCATAGCTGTGTTCAGTGTTTATGAAATGGTGTTTGCAGCCTGGTTGACAGGAAAGGCAGAGAAGTTCAGTGGTTTGGCTGGAATTGCATGGAAAAGTACAAGTAGGGCCAATAATTAAGCTTTTTATTTTCCATGCTTTTTCTGTGCAGGAATTAAGAAAAAAAATTAAGAAAACACTATGAAACCTGTTAGCAATGTGTGTGCCCTGTGCTTGCCTCAAACTTCCTGAAGTTTTATTTGTCTTGTCTTTTTGGTCCTTTAATCCTTGTCCTGCAGCCTGCTGGCATCAGGATGAGCCTTCAGGGCACAGAAACTTCTGCCTGGCATCCTAAAAATGCTCTTGCCTGATCTCTGCAACCCACGGTTCTGGGTGGTGGTTGGATTACAGCTGGCTCAGTAGTGGATCAGGAGAGACTCATTTTCAAAGCTCAGGAGTTCCACTGGAGAATTTAGGGACAAACAAGGGAAATACATAATAGGGAGGATAGAGAAATAGGTAGACTCACAGCTTTACATAAGGAATTAATTTTTCTAGATCAAAAAAAGTGCTTGCATTGATGTTGACCCCATCAGGGAGTTCAGCTGAGCCCCA